GCCACCAGCCGCGCGAGAGGCTCAGTCGTTTTCCCCGAATCCCTCCGATTAGCGCAAAACGATCATCGCCGATCTGCCCGAAAGAGCGATGCCTCTTAAATGCAGACGCCGCGCTGCGAGCCGCCTCCATTTTGGGTCTAATGCGAGGCATTTAGGAAGGATGGAAAGGAATCTTGGTAGTGTTAGGTTAATGGTTGGACCGGGTGATCTTAAAGGTCTTTTCCAACCGAAACGATTCGATGATTCTATGAAAAGGCAGCTGAGCGGGGAGGTAGGGCAGGAGCCCTCCCCAGGCACCCCACGGTGACAGGCAGCGGCCCGACACGATGACAGATTTCACGCCTGGCTCCAAGCGCTGGGCTAACGAGTCTCCCTAACGAAGCTCTCGGCCTGGGCTGGAGGGAACGCAGGCCCCCCCCCTTCTCCCCAAGCCCTGGGGTAAAGCCGATTTAAGACGTCGCCTCCAGCTCTCGCAAGCCCGGATTGCACTGAAGAGATGCGTCAGAAACCCGGGTCGCGGTGCAAACCGGGACTCGGGCTCTTCTCGGTTTACCCGGGTTATGTCCTGCCCCGTACGGTGACAAAAGCCCGGCTACGCTAAACCTGGAAAGACTTCTCCAGTGCAGGAGCCAGCCCGGCTCTCCTCCCGGACAGGGGTTTATGCTTTACCCTTCTCCCAAGTGAAGCGGAGCTAAAGCCGGCCCCCTTTTTAGATTTCCAGAAGCCGTGCAGCAGCGCAACGACCCTCGGGAGACCGAAGGTCCGATGTTAGTAGTGGCTCGACCCAAGCGCGCAGCTCTACCCGGCAAAGCTCACCTTCTGAGCACCCGAGAAAGCGTGGTAGAAGCAGGAAACGTATGTCATGATGGCCTTCTCATCGGGCCTGAGAGTGCCTACAATATCTGCGCAGAGAGAAAGGGAGGAGAGAGGGTGAAGAAGCAGCACAGCAATCCTCAACCCGCCTCGGGCATGCAGCGGAGGGGAACAAGCGCTTGCTGGGGCCCAGGATCCAGACCAGAGCTGGCTGACGGGGTTCTTTTTGCCGCTGCGCTTCCCTTGTTTAATAGCTTGGCCCCTCGTGAAGCGCCGAGGCTTCGTTTCGAGATATCCCCGAGCTCCCAAGCCACATCGGGCAGCTTTGGGAAGCTCCTTTTTGCCCCAGGTTAGCGCCGGGGTGGTGCTCTGCCAGCCCCTAGGCCCAGCCGTGCCGGCACGGCGTTACAGACAGATTTGGGGAAGCCGAGCGGCTGTTTTTTAAACCCGTGTGAACGAGCTGAGGTCTGGTTCCCAAGTCAACAAGAGACAAAACGGCCATCTGAAAGAGAAGTCGCATGAGTGTAGGATGCTGCAGTCGGAAATGTTACAGCAAGATGGACACAGCCGCCTCCGGTACCTTCTGAGCCCCAGAAAAGGCATGGTAGAAGCTCGACACATAGGTCATGATGGCTTTCTCGTCGGGGCGAGCTGTGTTGACAATGTCTGCAAGTGAACAACAAGGGGTTAGGCTGAGAGGGGGACGTTCCGGCGAGCCAGGCTCGCTCTCCACGCTGTGCCTAGGAGCCAGCTCCTCTTTAGGCTGGGATCCCACAAACAAGCAGCTCTTAAAAGCCAGATAAATACACCTGTACGGGCAGAAGAGCGTGTTAAAGACGGTCCCCTGACGCCAAACCACCCCCCTCTTCCCCAGCTCCGAGGGCGGCTGGCCGCCGGCACGCTTCCTTGGTGCCCGGAGGAGCGGATCTTCCATCGAGGACCTGGACGTTTACGGCACGCGGATAACGTCGCCCTTCGGCAGCGCATTACAGCTCGAGGCAGCCGGAGAGCTTACCCTCTGCATCCAGCATCTTGGGGATGTCCAGGTACTTCTCCGCCACTTCGAAGGCATTGTTCAGATTCGTCACGGGGTCATCCTAGGAGAGAGGAGACGAGCTAATGGCGAGGGCTGGTGGCCAAGGGCTGCAGGGAGCCCAGACGGCCTTGCTTGAGGCAGTTAAGCAGATGGATGGAGGGATGGACGGACAGCCGCGCTTGTCCGCCAGCTCAAAGCTCGGTTTTCCGATGAGAAAAGCAGCAGAGACTATGCTACCGCCGAGTTTTACCTTTCTGAGTTTGTCGTATTCGATGAGCTCCGGTCTGTGTCTGTGGATCAAGGCGTTGAAAGCAAGACCGTCTTTCCAGCTGCAAGAGGAGAGGGGAGAGTGAGATCCCTGCGCCAGCCCGGGGCTTAAATTCACACACATGGGTCCCCCGACACCCCTCCCCGATTCACTGATTTAGAGTAGAAAGGGCCAAGATGAATTGTGCATCTAACTCAGATCCTGGAAAGCCCCTCCTGGAAAGGCAGCCTGGAGAAGGGGCAGATATTTCAGGCGTAACCGCAGGAAAAAAAAAAATAAAAATAGCATGAGCTGCGTTTTCCGCTTCCAGCCGCGCTGAAAGCTTCGCCACTGAATATTTCAAAGGAGCCTCGAAGCCCAGGGGAGCAGCACGCGAAGGAGCAGATCTCGGAGCCGAGGCGGCCGTCGAGGGAGGTTACCTGATGTGGAAATTCTGCACATTGACGTTCTTGTAGGGAGCCGTCTTCCTCTGACACCACAGCAGCAAGCCCTCCTTCGCCGAGGTTTCTGCAAAAGGACACGGCAGCTCCTGAACCAGCCGGAGCCGCCTCGCCGGCAGGACCGGAGAGCAGGTTCGGCGTGCGATGCCGCCTACGGCGCACGTATCCCCAGCCCCCTTACCTTCCACCGAGATATCCTGAATGGCAAATCTAAGGATAATGGTCCAGATCATGCCCAGCGTCATCTTCGCGTTGCCATCGACAATCTCTGAAAGCCAAAAGGGAAAAAAAAAACCCAGACGTTTAGCTCCATAGGGCCGGAATTACTCCCGTCTACGGAGTTTCGGGAAAGCAGGAGGCCAGCAAATGCCACCGGCACGCAGGCAGCACGAGGAGCTCCTTCCCCCGTCCCCGCTTTGCCTTCGGGCGCGGAGGAACGGGCAGGAGCTGCCGGAGCAGCACCCCGGAGCCCAGATTTGGGCTCGCCACCCAACCCACCCCACTCTTGGATTTCGCTGCGCGCGTTCCTCCAGTACGTCGGAAGCTACGAGACGATCCCATAACGCGCAAGCTCGCTCTTCGCCCATGACGCGTCGGATCCTCGCCCCAAGTCTTTCGGGACCAAATAAATCCCGAACGGGAGCGAGCGTCCTCCAAAATAAACATTTCCAAGCCCGGTTTCACGACGGCAGCGTTAACGTCCAGCTCCGTCTCTGCCGGACTTTGCGCCGGACGTGTCTTCAGCGGGTCCGGACGGTGACGTGCCGCAGCCCACCGCGT